CTCTCCGGTCCTCCTCCGTGAGAGTAGGTCGTGACTTATCCTTCAACTGTGAGAAGTATTTGGAAGGAGTAAGTCGTGACTTATCCTTATACTGTAAGAAGTATTTGGAAAGAGTAAGTGGTGGTACAGCACATTTTCCTTCTTAAATAGTTCACTGACCCAGTTCCACTTGGGACCCCTTCGTCTTTCAATTGTCCAATCAGAAGTGACCTTGGGCAGCATGATGAATTATGCATGCCTTCATTTCCACTTCCTTCCGGACTGAGTCCCGAATGTGCTAATCGGGAAAGTGTCGGAAGTGGGGAGCCCTTACTATTGGTCACCTCTTCTTAGTCGCCTCTCCCTCTCCTGGAATTTGGCTAGATGAAGGGTCCTCTCGGGCGTGATCGTTTTTCCGATGCGATCGACTAGATGTGGCGCACTTGGAGACAATGCAAGCATTGTCCCAAAAGCCGAGTCCGCGCGCACGCCTGTTGCTTGTTGTCGTACGTGCAGAGTTTTGGGTTGCAGTGAATCTTCAGGAAATGTTTGTACTCGTTAGTTTACGTATATTCGACACTCAGTCAGAATCTACGTCTTCTTGGCAGTAAAAACATCAATTTTACCGTACCGGGAAAATATGAGCGCGCTTGAAAATAGGCAAGAGTAAATAAGCAAATTATTCACTGGAAATATTTCAGATGTTTTTATGACACGAGTGCTAGATGATTATGAACAGGAAGTTTTGAAGTCTTAATGTAAATTTTACGATATTGCTTGCCAGATGTTTCATTGTATTAAAATTGTTAAATAAATCTTATAAAACAATAACAGACACATAAACATATAAAGTGCTTTTTTGTAGAGATAAATCCTTTTCAAAAGGATTCTTTTTTTAACGGAAAAGACTAGATGAAGTATTGTATATATATACCTCAATTGACTAATATTAGCCGAATGAAAATTGATGGTGCAAAAAGTATTACAGTTTAATCAATTGACGACATTATTGTTAAAGCGGAGCTGATAATATACATAAATAAAATATTAATTATAAAATAATACATTATAAGTATATAATAAAGCCATTCGGAGTATAAAAAATAGGAATAATTGAATGGTACGATGGGATAATTTATAAGAGACAATGGACAGAATGATCATTAGTATTTATGACGATGAAATCATTATGTCTAGCCCGTTCATCACATTTCTCGGAATCTGCAACAGTAGTTTTAAGAAACTTCCAAGTGGAAAAAATTAACAATATTTTAAACTGTCCATAAATTATATAATTTTCATTCGCTATACTAATAAAGAAAACTGCAATAAACATATTAATTTGAATATATAACGTATAATCATTTGATTATATTATTGATACCAATAATTATTGATAAGATGTCAAGTATATTCTAATTTTTATATTAACAAATACAATTTAATAAAGTTGTAATTTACTGAAAAAAGTACTGTAAAGTACATTCTATTGTTACTACCCAAAAAACTTGTTAAAGAATCAATAAAACATCGCCCTCAATAAATCCATAAATAAATGCCTTACAAATTACATATTAAATGAAAATGTTAATTACGAATATTAAATTAAAATATACAAATACACAAGTGCGAAAGATTGTGACAAATTCTGTAAATTTAAATTCATCATTTTTGTATTTTATATCAAGCAATACAATTACAAAAGTAAGATCACGAATTTACTTAAAATAATTGAACGTAAGTATAAAATTTGGATAAATTAAAATATAAAATATGTATCAAATTGACAATAATATAAATAATTTTTATAACGTTAAATGGTTAATTAAAGAATTTCTATGACGAAATTATGACAAATTTACATAAAAGGACCACTACAATTACATTATATTATACAAAAACTGTATCAATTATTAATTAGAATAAAATTCAAGTATGTTTAGGTAGACGATAATAATAACAATATTTTCGAGATATTCAAGTATATTCGAGAAAATGAAAATTTTATTTACCTGCGTCATATATGTAATAAATTTTTTTAATATTTTCATAAAATAATATCACTAATAGATTATATTTTATTACTTTTACCTTATATAAATTTATAACAAAATGCAAACCAGAAACTAATATTAAAAATTTCTCACAATGAGGGTCGCCTTAATTTGTTGTTTATTTTTAATTTCTCTCAATATTCTCATAACCACTCAAGAAACTATAGTAACTAGAAGTAAAAATTTGAATTCTCTTAAATATATATAAATAAATTTCAAACATTCTTTCTATAATCGTCAAGAAATATATAAATTGCCATATACATATATAATAATAAATAAAATATTTGTATTACTTTATATATTAGGCATATAATAATTATTTATTTCACTTTTTCAGTTTGTTATTACGCCGAGTGCAATAAATTGTGTCTACCCGATAGAAAAGGATATTGTAAGGATGGATACTGCAAATGTCACCATGGCTGATAATTATTTTAAGAATGAACATTGCAATCAATCGATTTATGATTATATTCTTCTGCAGTAATTTTGTAATGTGTTAACTAATACTACAACGTAATAAATAAAAGTCTTTCAATTTTAAAAGTACATATATCTTTTGTAGTTAATTTTTACCTCGAAAATTTCTACCATTTGTTTTAAATTTATTGTAACTATTGTAAACGTTTTGGCCAATTTTTATTTCTATTTTACTGAATCCACATCAGCGGTATTAAGTCGAATAGGCAGTCTCTGCCTACACAACCAATGGTTTCATTTAACATACAAACGATTCCTCATACAAACGATTCATTGCTCGTCGAGGGATTGCTAGCACGTTGTACTCACACTGTGGTACCACTTTCATAGCGGATGATACCGATCTCAAAAGATTATTCGTTCAAGGCACCCTCGAACATCAACCCCCAGACATTTCGTAATCGGGAGCTCGGTTACCACCGTTTCAGAACCGTCTCTCAAAGGATTGTCTCTCTGGCAATTTATACAACAACGTATACGACAATTCTGGTCACAATGGTCAGCTCATTATTTACAGCAGCAACAGTCAATCCGTAAATGGCATCAACCATGGAATGATATGAATATTGGCTCGTTGGTACTTGTCACAGACCAACGTTTCTCTTCTAATCGTTCAAGTGGCCTCTCGCTCGCGTTATCGACATACATCCTGATAAGGATGGACTAACCAGAGTTGTTGTATTAAAAACAGCTTCGACCATCATTGTAAGACCAATACGTAAGCTGGTAGTGCTAGCAATACCTGAGGAAGGAAAATAATCATCAAAGAAGAAAATTGATGATTTTACTAAAAAAGTGTGGGAGCAAGAAAGTAGGACAATGCACAGTGCAAGGAACGTCTGTATGTGTGAAGCAAAAAATTACCATTTGCCCATCACATTATTAAATGATTATATTATTATGAAGCAATAATCACAAAGTAAAATTAGATTAATTAGATGAAATAAAGAATTTTGAAATAAAGAATTTCAAAAATGTGAATGAGCAAGCGAGTCTTGTTGTTTTATATAATGTTAGGTTATGAAATAATTTTGTAGATTATTTTAATTAAAATATCAATAAACCAATGAACATTCGGAGTGTTTGAATTATGATGAATATAAATTTCATTAAAATTTTATTTGGAAATTAGATGGTAATTCTTGATATCATCTATTAATCTGTTGTTTCTCAAGTGATGTTCTAAAGTATTCAATATTATCTATATTATATGTATTTTGTTTCCATTATTCAAATATCAATTCATATCAATTTGATAAACCGTATTACTGATCTCGAGCTAATGATTATCGTTATTCTTTGCATATGAAAATTGTTTGTAGTAGAACATGCAAATATTGATCTTGAAATTAAATTTAATCATCAATATTATTATCAATATTACTCATTTGATAATATATGTCATTTATTGCTAATTTTCCCATATATAATGGATGTTCCAATCTTCCAAATTATATTCAATCATTATTGTAGAGCGTTAAAAGATAATAGAATTTAAGTTTTTTAAAAAGTCCAAAGAAAGTTTCATCTCTCTCTTTCATCTCGTCTCTTAGAATGAAGTTATCACTTATAATTTCTTTAATTTTTATTATTTATATAAGTTACGCTGCAGCCGCTATAGAAAATGTTGTAACTAGAAGTAATAATTTTAATTATTTTAACTATATTAATAAATTTCAAATATAATCATTTTTATAATCATAAAGATATACTTCAATTGTTATATATATATATATATATATATATATATATATATAATAATAATAATAATAAATTGAATATTGTTATTACTTAATATATTTGCTATTAAATACATCTTATTGGGTATATAATAATTATTTATTTCACTTTTTCAGTTTGTTATTACGCCGAGTGCAATAAATTGTGTCTACCCGATAGAAAAGGATATTGTAAGGATGGATACTGCAAATGTCACCGTGTCTGATAATTATTTTAAGAATGAACATTGCAATCAATCGATTTATGATTATATTCTTCTGCAGTAATTATGTAATGTGTTAACTAATACTACAACGTAATAAATAAAAGTCTTTCAATTTTAAAAGTACATATATCTTTTGTAGTTAATTTTTACCTCGAAAATTTCGCTCTCGAAACTTGTAAAGCTTTACCCTCGAACGTCCTGAAATGTTTCCGCATAGCAACACCTATGCATTTTTGTCAGCTTAATAAGCTTTAACTATAATTGAGCTTGGAAATGTAAAATTATATTTATACTGTCAGTAAGCCAGTCAGCCGATATTAGTCAGTCATTTAGGGATTTCGCCAACTCATCAGGATCATTTTAACTTAGTCAATCAGTCATTTACGCTATTCAGCCATAGTTTACAACCATAAGTTAGTGATTGAGTTACACTCACGCTGTGAAGTCATCACACGGACAGACGTTCAATCATCATTGCAAGAGATTACACGACTACATCGAGCACCGTATCAAGGTATTCATCATCACGAAGGTATTCCAGGAGTCTTTGTTCCAAATAACTATTCATCACGGGATCAGGCAAAGGTAAAACTGTATTATTGTGAGTAAAAACATCAATTCGTTCGGGCCACGTATCCATTCGAGGAGTGTGCGTATGTCTTTCTGCTACTCCACGTTATCTACACAACAAGGGACTTAATCCTTACGAACGAGCATGCACAAACCTTAGAGGATCATCAGCAACATCGTCACCATAAAGGAGCAACTGCATCATTGCGAAAAGGTAGAGTCTACATTCTCCTATAAGAAGTGAATTCAGCTCATTCCTAATGTAATTATTAATAAACTATATGTTAACGAAGTCTGCACGTACTATACATTTCTACATATTCTATACCCTTCCACTTAACCCCTTCCCATGTATCCGCTAGGGCGGGTGGCAATTTATTATAAAGCTATCGAAACATTGGCAGTTCGAGTCAGGAAATCAAACAGTTTCGAATGTTTGGTATACACAAACACACAAACACAAACACACACACAAACACAAACACAAACACACACACACACACACATTTATATAAACTTATGATTAGAGATTTGTGATTTATTGAACACACTTCATGGATTATTTATGAGAGTCCAACCCATTATTTTGTTTTCCATTTGTAACTTAAATGAATGCTTCGATAAATATTGTTTCAATAAGGAAAGGCAATGGCATTAGGCATGGATATTGTGTGTTCATAAGGCAATTATTACCATACCATCGTATTAATTATGGTGAATAATTCACTGATACATATATCAAATATATGTCTTATTTGAGTAGTTCTTATATGTTATATATTCAAATTTTTATTGAAAATGATCTTTTATATCCTGATAATATTAACTGTTTTTCATGTTCATATATGTGACATATTTTGTTAAAGCATTACCACGTAACAGTGTGATTCCAATATTTTTAATATATATAATTCGCATTATATATATTTATTTGTATATAGCAATTTTCTTTATTTTATTTCCTTTCTTATGATTATATATATATATATATATATATATATATTTTAGTTAATTTCAATTCTATACTATAATGTAAATATAAATATATGGCCTTGTAGTAAACGAGCGAATAAAAGTAATAAAAATATAATAAAGCTAGAAACATATAATTGACGAGCTGACTGATTAAAATCCGTACTTTTAAAAATTAATTTCACTAATTTTGTGAAATCAGTTTTTATTCTGTAATTCTGTTTTTATTCTATATTCTGCATTTCTGCATTTCTGAATTTCAATCTTTCTGAATGAAATTAGTTTATTGTAAGACTTTTATCTCGAACACTTACGATATACGCGTTATTCAATAATCACATTATTCCATTATAATAAAGAATATAAGTTACTTAGTTTCTATACAAATTTATTCTCAATTCTATTATATAAAATGATAATCGTCTGTAATGATATTTATTTCAAATTAAGATCTGCATTCCATAAGTGCATATTCCTTTGCATTAAAAGATTAAATTAGAGGAAATGCAATTATACGGTATCTTTTAATAATTTTCGCAAAAATTGGATGTTCGATAACAAGGTTTTAATTATAAAATGAATTTAAATAATTTTTACGGTTAAAAAAATCTCTATTCAATTATGTATACCTAATAATATACTGAATTAAAAATAATGTAATTACATTTTTGATTATTATAAATAGTTATCTGTGAAATTAAAATTCTAGTAAATCAGTAAAAATATTTTGATATTTATATTTCTATTTAATTGTTACATATTTAATTTTTTATTTATACGAAATTATTCGGGTTGTATTATTGTAAATATTGCGTCGAATTATGGCTCGAAATAATGTGAATTTATTAATTTCATTGTCGATAATTAATTAGATCATTCGTTTGGCTACCAAATTTATCGGCAAGATATTATCGTACATATTATCAAAAATCACAGAATAATTTTGATTAGCGAATTATAAAGGATTTATTCTATATACTAAGTATCTTAGAAAATATTTGTTAAATCAACTTTCAGAGATAATTTTGTGACCACCGTTTCTTTACTTTTGTATAGAAAATTAAAAAATTTATAATAACCCAAATTAAGTTTTATTCTAGGCATATGTAATAACAATGTGTGATTGTATAAACGAATAGTATTACAAAAAATTTAAGGCATTCTTCAATCAAGTGGTAAATATGTCTAAAATGCAAACAAGTGTCATCAAGAATTTTGATTATAGCAGAAGTCCGTTGGAATTACTAAATGATTATATGACAACTGTAAATAAATGATGAGTAAATAAGATTAAGGAGAATTATATATCAAATTACCGTCGCAGACAATTTCGTTATATTATAATTGAGAAATAAATATCGATACAATAAACAATAAAAATATCCATATTAATTTTAAAATCTCCATTATATTTATTATGATAAAATGCTGCTCAAATGATCCAAAATACGTCTGCATTTTGCTATTACTTACATAGAAGTAGATGATGGCTTGACGAAGAGAAGGAACAAGTGAAATAAATAACAAAATTTTTTAAGGTTTCTTAATTTTGCATATGAAAATATTATTTGGTTGGCAAGTTCCTGAAAATACACGAAAACAAATCTGTTAATGTTAAAATTATATTCAATCAATTTTAAAATAAACAATATTTCAATTATTAGTTTTTATAATCATAATTCTTAGTTGTACGAATTTAGTATACCGTAAACATTTATCGCAAAAATTTCTAAAACGCGTTAGAAATAAAATTTTCATTTTAAGAATAATTATAAACATTTATACACGTATTAAAATTTCAAGTTTTTAATATTCAATATAAATAAGTTTCATTTTCAATCAATTTTAATATGGCAAAATAAATCAATTGGAATGCATCCCTTGTCTTCTAATTAGTGTAGAATAATTATAAAAAAATTTATATCTATTATTGATATAGATAAATATTTAATTTATTCGTTAAACTATTGTTTCTTAACAACTGATTTTTGTATAAAAAGTGTTGTTTAAAAATTTGTCTCTATTTACATTCGGTATTCTGTATAATTATACTAATTAAATTTGTGAGTTTAGTAAATAACAAAAATTTAACCACATATACATATATTTTTTTTAGAAATAGAAATTTTTTTTCAAAAAATTCTATGCGTAAATTCTAAAATTCATTATTGAAAAAATTAATCATTTAATTGTTCATTTACATTGAATAATAAATTTTTTATGAATTAGTCGTTTAATTTTTTTTCCTTTCGCGTATTTGTCGATGTTACATAAATAAAAAAAAATTTTAAGTACATAAAAGCCTAATGAGAATACAAAAACTAAACATTACATAAATTAATTTTATTTTGTTGATTCAAAGATATTCGCTTTTATTACTTTATCACTCTCGGCACTCTTCACCAAATAGAAAAGATTTCTTAATATATAATAGTCTGATGCGAAATTAAAAACTTAACATTGTCGTTTACGAATTATAATTTATATTTTGAGATTCTGATTTTCAATATGATTTTATTCAGATTAATTGGTTTTTTCTTCTTAGTTATCGCAATTAATTATATTTCCGCTGATAATGACGACAGTAATATTGTTCAACGTAAGATATTCAATGTGTTTGAATTATTTAAAATCTGTTATGAAATTAAAATTATTTAAAATCTGTTTATATCTAAAATTTCATTTACCAGTAATTTTAGAATTTCACATGGTTATTAAGTTAATATAAAATTAAATCAGAAGTTTGAGCGAAATTTTAATTTATGTGGAATAATAATCTATGAATATTTTAAATGAAAAACTTATTATTTTTATCTATTTATTTAATATTAGAATTTTTGTATTGTAATTATCCATTGTAATTATCCATTAAATTATCATAATATTACCGTAAATTATATAAAATTTCTGTAAATATATTATAAATGTATCATTTATTGCATTAATTGTTATAAAACTAAAATATGTCGTTAATAGTGTATCTATAAATTAATTAAATCCTTCAAAGTTATTCAATTCATAGTTAATTCCATTATTTGGATTATACTTATATAAATGAAATATATTGCCAGTGATTAAAATATCGTAGTTTTTTTTCTATTATAATATACAATTTTTTCATTATAATATACAATAATTTTCATTATATTATATAATTATATTATTAACTATTAATATTAATTACATTTTTAATTACAATTTTAATATATTGTTTTCACTCATAAAAATATTACTTTCCTTTTATAGTTTGCATATCACGAAGGTGTCGTAGAAAATGTGCGATACAAAAGAAAAAAGGATATTGTAAAGATATTTCAAGCTGTGTTTGTCGCTAGGAAGCGTCAAAGTCCAATCTAGTTTAAAAAAAAAAAAATTGTTATTCAAAATGAAAAATAGAACATATGAATGATACATAAGTTAGATATGTTTCTAATTTATATTTCTAATAAGTACAAATGTTTTTTATTATAAAAATAAATTTTGTC